GCTAATTAATGGAAATCACTATTTTTTTTTTTTACATGCCAACTAAATTCAATTTAATTTAAAATAATAAATTATATTTAAACCAATAATATTATGACACATCATTATTAATAATATTAAAAATCTAGAAATCGAAGAAAATGGATGGGAAGTTTAAGCTATAAAGACCTAAATATATTTTGCAATTATATATAGTATAAATAAATTTACAAATGTGATAATTTTCTTATATATGTGTGGAAAGTAGAAAGATTTTAACATGTTAATTAAATAATTAATAATTATATTTATAGTAAAATAATCAATAGTTATATGGCATTTGTTTTTATATTTTATAAATTCAGAAAATCCAAGAAAATAGAGTTGGGTTTTAGAGCATAAGGCCCAACAATGTTTTGCAATCATATATGATGTCACGTCACTTATAAAACTATAAATTTATCATATTATTTTCATGCATTAACAATGTATTTTTATCAAAAGTTATATAGATGAGGGTATTTTGATAATTTCACTTGTTAACTTATTTTTTACTTTCCAAAGAGATTTTTGGTGAAATAAGCTGACTTTTGATTTTTTTAAAATAAGCCAAAAGCTTACTTCTTCTTCGTTTTTGGTTCCCAAATAAGGCCTTATTTTGTTTTTTTAATGGTGTTAATTTTTGAGAAATGTTAAAGATCTCCATTTTTAAACACATAAATTGACTTGCACTGATGTGACAAAAGAGTTCTATATCACTGTGTGTAACAAATTAAAAATTCATAATATTATTGCGGATTAAATTATAAAAACTTTTTACAAGTCTTAAATATTTTCTTAAATTTTTGATATTGACTCTACTTCTAAATGTATTAACTCACTCGAATATGAAATGGGTAGCACAATTAATCTCATTTATTTATATTATTTATTAATTTGATTTTTGTCTTTATAATCTTATTGTATATCTCATTTTTTCGTCTTATCTAATCACAAAATATAACTTATTTTTTATAATTTTATTGTATATCTCATTTTTCATCTTATTTATCACATAGTATAATTTATCTTTTATAATCATATCTATCATATTATTTATCTTTTATAATCATATCTATGATATTATGGCATCTAACCTCATAAAAAATAATTGGATAATCAAACAGAATCATTGCCTACTATTGACCAATTATACCATAAACATGGTTCGAGAATGAATAATTTTTGGTTTAAAAAGGATAGTTTATAAGTGTTAAAATTCTTTGTACTGATCTTCTTGCTGTGATAATTCAAATGTTTATTTTAAAGTTAAAACAAAATTATATGTTTTTAAGGTACAAAAATTTAATGAAATCATTAAAATAGGTCACATTTTGGTGTTATAAAAAAATCAACCGGTGTGTTTGATTTGAGTTTTCTGAATTAAGTTTTTTGAAAATTAAATTTTTTGATTTTCGTGTTTTTTTGTTTTTAGTGAATATTTTTTAAATTTTAAACATTTTTTTACTTTTTTAGATGTACTTTACTTAGATATATCTAAAAAGTAAAAAATTTGTAAAAAAATATTTTAAAAAATTAATAAATACATAAAAATATAAAAAATGTACCGAATTCTTGTATTTTTTTATATTTTTGGTATTTAGTAAATTTTTAAAAGATTTTTTTTACAATTTTTTTACTTTTTAGGTTATTTATGGGGGGATTTTTTTTAAGGTCCCTGATATTAAGAATTTATAGTATAAAGGACACTCAATATTTTCATAATGTCTAAGGTCCTTCAACATCAATCCAGAGAAAATTCGATCCAGAGAAAATTCGGTCCAGAAAATTCGGTCCAGAGAATTTCTCTGGACTTTCCAGAGAAATTCTCTCTAGACATCCAGAGAAATTCTCTTTATCCAGAGAAAATTCAGATAGTCCAAAAAAAATTTAGACATCCAGAGAAAATTCAGATAGTTCAGAGAAAATTCACACAATCCAGGAAACTCTGCATCATCGTGCATTTTATATGTTCTCTTACAAATATCTTTTCATGAAGGGTTACTATCAAAATTCTGTTTGCTAATCCTAGTGCTCTTTGTAGATCAAGTTCAACAAGATGAGGTGGTTGACAGTAAGATTTTGCCATACCTTAGCATAGATAAGAAAGAAAAGAAGTCATTCCCTAGACTTCCAGAGAAAATTCAACTTCAAAGAGAAAATTGGTCCAGAGAAATTCTGGGAAGAATTTCTCTGGACTTTCCAATTTCTCTAACATTCCCTAGAATTCCCACTGTAAATTTCTCTGGCCTTCCATTCTCTCCAGAGAAATTTCCCTTCTCTCTAGAGAAATTGTAATGTGCTTCATCTTGTTTGAATATGCTATATTGTTGATATTGATTCAGAATTTCTACAATTTGTTTGGGAAATTCCTATCATTTTCTTTGAATGAATTCAATAAATTTTTGTTGTACTTATCTACAAAATTTTCAGGGTATATCTATCCTTACCTAATTCTAATGGAGAGTGGGAAATATACAGAAGGCCAGAGAAAAAAATTTCTCTGGAGAGAAGGGAAGACCAGAGAAATTTGCAATGGAAAGTCTAGGGAAGGTAAGTCCCTGCACCAATTTTCTCTGTGAAGTCGAATTTAGCAAAATCAACAATTATTACCAACTCTACAACCTGAATTCTGTAGAATCAAATATCAAATTTCACAGAGAATTCTCTGTGAACTTCATAGAGAATTCTGGTTCACAGAGAATTTCTCTGGTGACTTCACAGAGAAATTTTCAAATTTCTCTGACTAAATCACATACTCATCTCTGTGATTTTCTCTGGCCATCTAGAGAAAATTTCTCTGGCCTTCCCTTCTCTCCAGAGAAATTTCTCTTCTCCAAACCCAAAGAAATTCACTTAAACCAAATAAATTTCCCAAACCCAGAGAAATTCGCAAAGAGATGGAAAAGTCAGTGTATACGCAAAGTGCTTTCAATTTTCAGAGCTTTCAGGGTTTTTAAAGTAAGAACTCCTCAGATTCACACTCTCAATTTGTCCCTTTCTTGTTTATAGGAAATGAGTTTGCTAAAAATGAGGCCAAGGGTCTAAAATTGGCATGGGTTTGTATATAGAGACTCTGTCTTGTTCTCGGTTTGTCTCTAAAATGTTTTTCAATCTCGTTTATAGTGGTGGAGGAGTGAGAGATTCGTAGATTCGAAGAATGAGGTTCGGTGGATGATGGACTTATGGGACGCCATACTGGAGTTGGACAGAGTCGATACATGTGGGGGAGAATATGTCTGATAACAATAGAAGATTTCTTCGATGATCTGATCCGAGAGGCTGCCAAGAAGACAGAAGGCTTCTCAGGTCGAGAGATAGCGAAACTAATGGCCAGTGTTCAAGCAATCGTGTATGGACGCCTGGCAGCGGCAGTAGGTTCATTGATGATACGCATCACATTGAGTCCAGCAATAACACCATCATCCTTTGTTGCCTGACGTTGAGAATCATTGAAGTAGGCAGCCTCCATGTCTGTTCAACAGATCTGCAATGCAACTATGGCGCTCTCTCTCTCTAGATTCTCTCTCTAAAATGAGGTTCGGTGGATGATGGACTTCCGGGACGCCATACTGGAGTTGGGCAAAGTCAATACATGTGGGGGTGAATATGTCTGATAACAATCGAAGATTTCTTCGATAATCTGATCCGAGAGGCTGCCAAGAAGACAGAAGGCTTCTCAGGTCGAGAGATAGCGAAACTAATGGCCAGTGTTCAAGCAATCGTGTATGGACGCCTGGCAGCGGCAGTAGGTTCATTGATGATACGCATCACATTGAGTCCAGCAATAACACCATCATCCTTTGTTGCCTGACGTTGAGAATCATTGAAGTAGGCAGCCTCCATGTCTGTTCAACAGATCTGCAATGCAACTATGGCGCTCTCTCTCTCTAGATTCTCTCTCTAAAATGAGGTTCGGTGGATGATGGACTTCCGGGACGCCATACTGGAGTTGGGCAAAGTCAATACATGTGGGGGTGAATATGTCTGATAACAATCGAAGATTTCTTCGATAATCTGATCCGAGAGGCTGCCAAGAAGACAGAAGGCTTCTCAGGTCGAGAGATAGCGAAACTAATGGCCAGTGTTCAAGCAATCGTGTATGGACGCCTGGCAGCGGCAGTAGGTTCATTGATGATACGCATCACATTGAGTCCAGCAATAACACCATCATCCTTTGTTGCCTGACGTTGAGAATCATTGAAGTAGGCAGCCTCCATGTCTGTTCAACAGATCTGCAATGCAACTATGGCGCTCTCTCTCTCTAGATTCTCTCTCTAAAATGAGGTTCGGTGGATGATGGACTTCCGGGACGCCATACTGGAGTTGGGCAAAGTCAATACATGTGGGGGTGAATATGTCTGATAACAATCGAAGATTTCTTCGATAATCTGATCCGAGAGGCTGCCAAGAAGGAGCGGCAGTGGGTTCATTGATGATACGCATTACATTGAGTCCAGCAATTACACCATCATCGTTTGCTGCCTCACGTTGAGAATCATTGAAGTAGGCAGCCTCCATGTCTGTTCAACAGATCTGCAATGCAACTATGGCGCTCTCTCTCTCTAGATTCTCTCTCTAAAATGAGGTTCGGTGGATGATGGACTTATGGGACGCCATACTGGAGTTGGACAGAGTCGATACATGTGGGGGAGAATATGTCTGATAACAATAGAAGATTTCTTCGATGATCTGATCCGAGAGGCTGCCAAGAAGACAGAAGGCTTCTCAGGTCGAGAGATAGCGAAACTAATGGCCAGTGTTCAAGCAATCGTGTATGGACGCCTGGCAGCGGCAGTAGGTTCATTGATGATACGCATCACATTGAGTCCAGCAATAACACCATCATCCTTTGTTGCCTGACGTTGAGAATCATTGAAGTAGGCAGCCTCCATGTCTGTTCAACAGCTCTGCAATGCAACTATGGCGCTCTCTCTCTCTAGATTCTCTCTCTAAAATGAGGTTCGGTGGATGATGGACTTATGGGACGCCATACTGGAGTTGGACAGAGTCGATACATGTGGGGGAGAATATGTCTGATAACAATAGAAGATTTCTTCGATGATCTGATCCGAGAGGCTGCCAAGAAGACAGAAGGCTTCTCAGGTCGAGAGATAGCGAAACTAATGGCCAGTGTTCAAGCAATCGTGTATGGACGCCTGGCAGCGGCAGTAGGTTCATTGATGATACGCATCACATTGAGTCCAGCAATAACACCATCATCCTTTGTTGCCTGACGTTGAGAATCATTGAAGTAGGCAGCCTCCATGTCTGTTCAACAGCTCTGCAATGCAACTATTTTTTTTGGGAAGCATTAGCAAGTGGATAGGAAACACTCCCAAATTGTTTAAGGCTATTGATAAAATCAGAAATTTATATTATTTAATGATAAATAACCATGGGAGGCTTAATATTGTCAAGTACTAGATTTACTAATTAAGTTATAATCATAATTTTGACTATGCATGTCTGACTTTTCTTGTATGACTAATGACGATAGAGTTTTTCCAACTACATATACATCATATCTACTGAGTTGCAAAAAATCACTAAATGTCTTTTTCTATCACTGGTAAATTATCATTACTAATGATATCCACATTATATATTTAGTCGTGTATCGGCATATAAGTCTATAAATTTTTTTGGTTTTTAAATGTTGTTAAGTCAAAGAATTATCAATACTCTACCATACAACGAAGTTCTTTTTTTTTGGGGGTGGATAATCATACAATGAACTTGGTTCTTATCATAGGGGTCATAAAGCTATATAGCATTAATTATAAGAAGTTTAACTACATTTTTATCTAGTACCAGTTACATGTTTAATGTGGAACACGTTTCACATGATTTTTTCTCTTCCCCTTCCTTTTTCCTTTAACAACTCCAAGGTTCTTTTATTAAAATTACTGTGGACAATGTTTCAAATAGTAATTCTTTTTCTTCCTGTTCCTTTCACTTTCCTTCAATAACTCCAAAAAAGGTTCTTTTATGCTTCCCCTGAAGTTCCATTAGCAATTCCATGATCTATCACAGTGGATTCATGTTCAAGTATTAACCTAAATTCAAAATGCATTCATGTTCAACTATTTATGCCTTAAGTTTCAAAATGAACTCGTTTCAGTTACTGTCTTTCATTCCGCACAGGAGATTGTATTACTTCACTTTATAACATGAACAAAAAAACCAAATGAATATACAGATGGCGTCCTCCACGTCAAGTGCCACTTCAGCCTGGCCACCAAGGATGTGTGATTGTGGGTTTGGACACTGCGTTGTAAAGATATCAAGATCCGCCAAAAACCCTGGTCGTGCATTCTACGTTTGTCCTAGAAATACGATGTGTTTGTGTTGCCACTCTCTTATGCACTTAGTCACAAAACTCGTCATTTATTTGTGGTTGTGTCGTATAGTATGCATGCTAACTATCTACTGCAATTTTGTCTAGCAGAGATGTGTGTCGTGGGTTGGTTGGTGTGACGAGTTTCGCAGCACCAGTTTGCGTGCTGACTAGGTACATAATGATGTCGATCAGGGGTTACGAGCGGACGTTGCGCGCATAGATCAGAGCCTACGTATGCTTAGGACTGTCGTCGGTTTTTTGTGTGTCATTGTTTTGGTGTTGTTGTTTCGCATGTGATGTATTGACATGGATATGAACGGCCTAGTTACTTTCTGTATCACATACATACGTTGCCGCCAGTTAGATGTTTTGGTCCTATTACATAAGATTTCCCCAACGTGTAGTACAAATGAACATTGTCTTTCGAAAAGTGTTGTACTGTTTTGTGCTTATGTGTTTTAATCGTGTTTACACTTTTATTTCACTTCTCGCCATGCAAACTACATGTACTGTACTTCATTTCTTTGTAATAATTAAATTGTAAATGTCATAAGCAGGACAGGACTACCCATGGCAACAAACCGAACATCACCCTGTACGCCTTCAAAGTATCGAGGTAACGCTGCAAAGGCAACCCAACCCAAGCCAGTCCACAAATGGCAATTCGACAGCGACAATACGAAGCTGTTTCTTCAACTCATCATTGCTGAAATGGAAGGTGGTAATCGACAACCGTGCGGATTGTCCATGGCAGGGTATAAGAATGTAGCAAACAAATTTCTCGAGAAAACCGGCCTACTATATTCAGCCAAACAAATGAAAAACAAGTTTGACAACTTGAAGAAAGATTGGGTCGCCTGGAAAAAGTTGGAGAATGCCAGCCACGGCTTCACAGGGCTTGGGTACGACCATGAGACAGGCTTGATCACTGCACCTGACCATTGGTGGGCGAAAATGCAAGCGGTATGTTTTAACAAAACTTTTATTTTGTTGAGTTTCATAAACTGTTTTGTTATTATATTTCAAGCTGTAGTAAAAATATGTGTTTTCTCCTTCACAAATGAACAGCCGATGTGCTAAATTCAGGACTAAGCCGCTGGAGCATGTGGATCTCATGGAGCGGGTGTACTCTGGCGCAGCAGCGACTGGGAAACATGCATGGACTCCAACAGAAATGCAAGATGATGCTGCTGCTGCGACCAATGCCATGGACGTGGATAGCGGGATGGGACCTCTCAGTGCTGACACACCACCACAGCGGGGCCATGACACTGTCGGGGAGAATGTGGTTGATAGTAGCCTATTTGAGGATGCTCCCCCCCAGTCAGTCGTGGACGGATCAGCCAATCCAAAACGACGCAAGCGGTCAACGCCTGGTACTGTTGCTAGCAGCATGGACAATCTGGTGGAAGTTTTGAGCAAACAAAGTAGGGAAATGAAAATCACACAGTTCGTTGTCATGAGTAAAAGTGACAACACAGTGGGGGACTGTCTTGCACGGCTTATGAGCACGCCTGGATTAGAGCCAGGTGGTAAGTTGTTCTCATTCGCATGCGGTATAATGGATTCACCCGATAATCGGGACATCATCATGGCTCTCCCCCAAAATTACATTGTCAACTGGTTGACAGAGAAGCGTGCCTGCACCCCGGCCAATGTTGGCAGGGATCATGACGGGGGGACACGGCTGTTCGGGAGTGGTGGTGCTGTTGACTTGGACTAGGCCGTTGTGGTTAGATTGTCATGTTACTATTTGTATCGTGCTCTTTTTTTTTTTTCTTTTCGATGGTGAAGTCTGGAGACAGTTTGCATTTATTTTATTTTTGTGTAGACGTGTATGTATGCTTCTGCAGGACTTTGCAGGCTTATTTTGGTTTGTGGTGCTTTTATTTTGGTATGGAGTTGTGCTTTTATTTTGGTGTCGACGTGTATGTATGATTCTGCAGGACTTTGCAACCAATATGCGAGTATACACGTCGCAAGGTGGCATTATTTTGGAACCGATGTGCTAAATTACCTAAAAATAGTTACATTTCTTTAATTAACATATTAATTTTTTATTATTTTTATTTGTTGTGTAAACTTATATATTGAAGTTATTTAATATAGTCAGAGAAGTACTTACATTTCAAGAATTTGCAAATTTATTTATTTATTGGGTGCTTCGTATTTATTTAATGCAAAAACAAAAAAATACGACGACAAGTAGTTACATTTCATTACTTGCCTTATTTATTATTTATTAATTTTATTTTTTGTCTAAACTTATATATTCAAATTATTTAATACAGGCAGAAAAGTACTTACATTTCAATGATGTGCAAAATTATTTATTTATTGAGTGCTTCGTATTTATTTAATGCAAAAACATTTTACTAGGTTCATTATCTTATTTATTCATAGTTAAAAAATTATGTACATAAATTTTTCCCAAAACACTTCACATCAGTATATGAAAAAGTGGATGTGTCATACGTCTCTGGAAAGCACATGGAAGTTACATGCTTATATGCAAGCATGCAAATACAAATTGTACAAACCTGCAAAGCATTCACATGGTTTTGTTTCTTTCTACTACTCTTCCTTACATTTCACATGCCCACAGTAGCCTATGTTGATTTGGTCATTGAAGTGGCTTCCGTAGGAGTGTTATATATCATGGAGTTGTGCAACTAATTTCGCCAATTAAAAGTTACAACTAGTAGTTCTGATTTCATATAATTTGCAACGTCTATGGATGCAGAAGAGGGTACTAGCTCGGGAGTCGTACGCAATGGCCAAATAAATGCTTGGATACGAGAGACGATCGGAGAAATGGAGTCGACGACATCAATGATTTGGATGGAAATTGCGTTGCTCATGTTGCCAACGAGTACGCGTACGTTGACAGGACTCCGTTTCACACTTCCGCATTGACTGGTAGCATGTGGATGCAGGAGATGCTTGGAGGAAGGAATGAAGCATTTCAGCGAAATTTTCGAATGTCACAAGAGGTGTTCTTGATGTTGTGCAAGACATTAGTTGAAGATTTTGGCCTTCCAGTACCACAGCGCCCTCATGGTATAGACGTAGTTAAGAGTGTCGGCATGTTCATATTCGTGTTACGGGGCTTCACGAGTTGGGACATAGAAGACCGTTTTCAACACTCGGGGGAAACAGTCTGGCGTCATGTAATGCGAGTTCTTAAAGCGATGAAGTTGTTCACGAGAGTACACTGCCGACCGACAAGGTCACAACACAGTAGACATCCGTACTTGGAGTCCCGACGAAAATATTTCCCATTCAAAGTGAGAGTATTTATTTTTGGCACATTTAATCATGAGTAGTACCCGATTTCGGAAAGTAAGGCAAACTTATTTTGGGTAGTAGCATTTTTCCATATTTATGATAACGTGTGAAATTTCAGGACTGTATTGGCGCGCTTGACGGCACACATGTGGAGGCACATCTCCCTCCTCAGGAGGCACCGCCATATTTTGGCCGTAAAGAACGGCACACGCAAAACATACTCGCAGCGTGTGATTTCGATTTGTGTTTTATTTTTATATCTTGCGGATGGGAGGGAAGTATGCATGACAGTAGAGTTTTTAACGAAGTCACATAGGACCCAGCCAAACAATTCCCCATGCCAGAGGAGGGTAGGATGAACGACACAATTTTTTTTTTGTTGTATTAGTTGTGTGCATTTGGTATTTGTAATTGACCACCGTACTAATGTGAAATTATCGACATGCAAGCAGGAAAATATTACCTTGTTAATGCGGGATACAAGAACCAAAAAGGATTTTTGGCGCCGTATAAGGGATGCCGGTACCATCAAGAAGTGTTTCACGCAACCAGACGACCAAAAAATGCAAACGAACTTTTCAACACGGTGCACTCCTCCTTACGGAGTGCAATTGAACGTACGTTCGGCGTATGGAAAGCGCGATGGGGATTCATACATAACATGCCGCGATATGATTTCGGGAAAGTGCAGGTGCCATTGGTTGGGGCTTCAATGGCGATACATAATTTTATACGCCGCAACTCAAGCGACGATGAAGCATTCAACAAGGTTGCGAATGCAGAGACTTTTACATTCAACGACATACCAAACGTTGACGGTCTTGGTGATGATGATGATGGTGAATCAGAGGGCGACGATGACGTACATATAAATGAAGTAAGGAAATCAATACGGAATGAATTAGTGCGACATCGGCGTGAACTTGGGTTGTAAATCCCGTTCCCACATTACGAGGTGATGGCAAACGAAATGAATGTGTAACAATAATTAACAAAACTGTCATAATAATTGTTAAGAAAGTTGCTCCCCGTATTTTGGTCTTTTGCAAAATTTGTTTGGATAATTCGGTAATTATTTGTATTACAAAAATAATACAGTTAGTAATAAACTTGTAATAATAATTTAAAAAAATTCAAAAAACAAAGAATAATAAATTTGTAATAATTAAAAGTATCTTGTCAAATTTGGAACCCATAGAGTATATAAAAAATAATACATTTATTAGTAATAAACTTGTGATAATAATAAAAAAAAAATTGAAAAATAGAGAATAATAAATTTGTAATAATTACAATTATTTGGTAAAATTTGGAAATTGTAGCATATATAACAAAAATACATTTAGTAATAAACTTGTAATAATAATAATAATAATTTAAAGAAATAGAGAATAATAAATTTCTAATAATTAAAAGTAGTTTGTAAAATTTGATAATTGTAGAATATATAAAAAATTATACATTTATTAGTAATAAACTTGTGATAATAATAATAAAAAATTAGAAAAATAGAGAATAATAAATCTGTAATAATGAAAATTATTTGGTAAAATTTGGAAATTGTAGAATTATAACAAAAACACATTTAGTAACAAACTTGTAATAAAAATAATAAAAATTTAAAGAAATAGCGAATAATAAATTTGTTATAATTAAAAGTAGATGCTAAAATGTGGAAATTGTAGAATAATAAAAAAATTATACATTTATTAGTAATAAACTTGTGATAACAATAATAAAAAACTAGAAAAATAGAGAATAACAAATTTGTAATACTTAAAATGATTTGATAAAATTTGAAAATTGTAGAATATATGTATAAAAAAAATACATTTAGTAATAAACTTGTAATAATAATAATAACAAATGAGATCTTACAGAATAATAAATTTGTAATAATTAAAAGTATTTGGTAAAATTTGGGAATTGTAGAATATATAACAAATAATACATTTAGTAATAAACTTGCAATAATAAAAAAAAATCATAAAAAAAGAATAATACATTTGTAATAATTAAAAGTATTAGGCAAAATTTTGGAAATGGTGGAATAATATATAAAAAGAGGGAAAACTTGCAACGTGTGCACCCAGCAACGTTGCAAACACTGTTCACATAGTGAAGGGCAGAATCGTAATTTCTGGAAAAAGGTAAGGGTATTTTCGTCATTTTGCATTGATTTGACAGTTTTAAAAAATATTAAACAAAAAATCTAAAAAGTCAGCTTTTTACTAACTTCCCAAACTACATCCAAAAAAGCCAAAAAGCTTGGTAAAAAGCCAAAAGCCAACTTTTTACCAACTTTTCAAAACAGTAAGAATTAGAGGAGTGTCAGGGAACAATTTGAATTTTTAATTATATCAAATATATAAATATTTAAAAAAATAATTTTTAACATATTTTTTCTTTTATTAATAATTCATTAAATTGTCAGTAGCATAAAATTCATCTATACACAAGATAGATTCAAAATTGTATTTTTCAATTAAATAGGAAAGTATTTTAAAAATTTATTAACCAACAGAGGCAAGGCAAGTCATCGAATTTGGCAATGCTTAATCCACGATAAAAAAAAAAAAAATCCCGTAACCACATTATTTATATTATTATATAAAGTTTATGATTGATATTTACTAGAGCAAGTTTAACGGATTCTTCAAAAGAGATTTGCTCGCTATTATAGTTAGTTTTGTTTTATTTTACTTTTTTTAATGGGTTATCAATTTTAACAAAATTTTATCAAATTAGTTACATTTGACGAGTTTTGAGAGATTTTTTAAATCATTTTGTGTGGGTAAATAAATAAAATAAAAAATATCGGTAGAGAACATAGTTAAAAATTTGGTTAAGTAAAATAAAGCATATATTTTTTTGTACCTTTTTTTTTTTTCTTTTTGTACTTTAGTAGGTAAAAAATCAAATTTTTTATACTTTAACTAATGAAAAATTAAGAATAACATTAGAGTTGTTCTATAAAATTTATAATTGAGTTGAAATAGATTGCCATGATTTTTACTTTTCTCAAAATATCTCAAAATTAATAACTACTCTAAAGTTTTTAATTCTTTCACATCTAATTTGTCATAATTATCAGTTCAATTTCTTCAAATAATTGTTATTTCAAATTACACATATATAGACCACCGAGGGTGGTAGTGGAGTGGAAATATGTCTTCCTTCCACACAAGTTAGCAGGGCTTAACTCTTAAAGGGAGCTACTCACAATCCGTTTTTCAAACGGTCAAGTGAATTGCGCTCTATTCCGATCGTGATTCTGTTTCTCTTGTTTCTTTTGTTGAGAGTTGATGGGTATGTTTGATTTGGGTTTGTAGAGTGATTTTGGGAAATTTTTTTAAAAAAACTTGTTTGGTTTGTAATTTTTTCAAAACAATTTCTAAAATCATTTTTTCTCTCTTACACATCAATCAATCGTTTTTTCTCTCTCTCTTCTCTCATTCCCAATCACTTTTTCTCTCTCACATATCTACTCAATTATAACAAAATATCAAGTCATTCCAAACTCCCAAACTCAAAAACTACTTTTAAAATACATAATCAAACAAATCAAAAAAATTTCTAAATTCTCTTCTTAAAATAATTTTAAAAAATTACTCTCTTAAAATCAAACCAAACATACCGAATGTATTTCTCTCTTACAAACATACCCGATATATTTCTCTCTTACTCCGATATGAATTCCTTCTTTTGTATTAGAATAGTCTGACTTATGCACTGACGCCTAAAAGTCGCAATGATAAGTATCATTTTTTTTGTTTTTCTAATAAAAAAAAAAATACACATGTCGGTCATTTTTTTTTTCAATAATATTTTGTTTCCCGAATTTTTTTTTTCCGAATCTTTTAATTGTCCAAAATAACGTTATTTTGGATTTTTTTACTGGTAAGATATATTAAAATTCTCTTACCAGTAAAATAATTTTCATTAAATAACTTCTTCATAAAACGAAATTACCGTTTAAAACAACATCATTTTAAATTCAAAATAAATTCGAGTTTGAAAATTTTGGAGCTTCGCATCGTTACTGTTTTTTTTTAATCAAAATTGTAAAAGAACCCGAGGGCATTATGGCGAACAGAATTTTTGTCGTAGTAGTTCATAGTTCTTTACTCATTTTTATACTTATTATTAGGCTCGCCGTAATTTCAGGACCTATTTGTTTTCCACTGGAACTCTCTCTCTCTCTTCTATCTCTCCGTCCTAATCCTCTATTTCCTCCACTCTCTCTCCTTCCACACACACACGCGTATCTGTATCTATACAGATTATACACATATATACTAATATTTTCCAGGAATAGAGGTTTCGAGCTTCATTGAAAGCAAAGACAACTTTCAGGTTTCTTCTCCATGTTTTTTCTCTGCACAGTGAAGCATTAGTGTAAGTTCACTCACAAACACTCTATTTGTTTTACTTTCTCGAGAAAAAATCCCAGTCCTTTACTTTGTCATTAAATTTTCCGGGAATGTGTTTGTCGGCGGGTTTTCCGGGAAACTGGGTAGTTAGTTATTTAGATTAGTTTTTGGTGGGTCTTTTTTTATGTCTCCGATGCCAGAGAAAGCTGCAAACTCTGTGCCACCATATTCATGCATTTTCCGATTGAATCCGATGATTCATTGGTCGTTTAAGGTCCTAACTTTGTCAGTTTTTCTCGGAATTTTGATCGTTTGGGGGATTGATGGATGGAGTGTTAGTAGTTTTCATAATGATTTTCTTGTTTTCAAACTCAGTAACCAAACTCGAATCAATGAGAATTTGATTCCTTATATTGCCTCTGTTCATCCCAATTTAACCTTCCATGGAAACACTCACCAAAATCTGTCACAAACCCAGAAAAATTTGACCTCATATGTGACCATTATCCCTCCCAATCTCACACACGTCAATTTTACCCATTTTGGCTCCCAAAATTTTGTAAATCTGACAAACCCTCCATCTTCATCTCCATCTTCCTTGGATTGGATTTCAACTGAACTAGACCCAAACTATACGTCAAATCTTCTATCTGGATGGTTAGCTCCAGGTGGTGAGCCATGTAGAGATTCAAAAACAGTGGAGATTTCAATCCCAAGTTTGGATAGTCATGGTGTGATTGAATTACCAACAGGCCAAATCCATGAGTTTGTGTTCCAAGCTTTGGATGAGTCAGGGAAGCCTCACTGCTTAGGTGGTGATTACTTCGAAACCGACCTCTCTGGCGATCGATGGAAGTCTCGGCCACCGATCAAAGATTTGGGCAATGGAACCTACTCTTTTTCTCTCCAAATCCACCCAGATTTCGCTGGAGATTACAATCTCACTATAATCTTACTCTTCAGACACTACGAGGGTCTGAAATTTTCTCCACAAAGATTCGCAATTGACAAACAAGTTCGCAAAATCCCACTCAAGTTTTTCAAATCAATGGCTGAATTGCAAGAAATTGGGCTCTGTAACAAATCTGATTTTGCGAGAAACGTGTGGTCTGGTCGGTGGACTCGCCATGGGAAGAACGATAGTTGCTGGGTTGACAGCGAAGGTCGATTCAAATGCTTCGAACCCACATACCCATGTCAGGGTCCATGGTGTCATGGAAATTTGGGAGTTTTGGAGAGCAATGGTTGGACCTATTCGACCCATTGTTCGTTTCGATTGTTTTCACGGGAATCAGCCTGGGATTGTTTACAAGGTCGGTGGATCTTCTTCTGGGGAGACTCGAATCACTGCGATACGATTCGAAACATGCTTCAATTCATACTCAATGTGGAGGACATCAAAGTGGTTCCGAGGAGATTTGACATGAACATTACGAACCCGAAACAATCGTCACAAGTTGTTCGGATTACGAGCATTTTCAATGGCCACGAAAACGCATCTGGGAATTACCAGGGCTTGAATTCGCTCAAAGACGATGGGTACAGAGAGCTTTTGAAGCACTACTTTTCTGGGGAAAAAGTTCCTGATTCTGTGATTATGAATTCTGGGTTACACGACGGCGTGTTTTGGGGGAATATTAGGAGGTTCGCCGATGGGGCGGGGCGCGCGGCGGCGTTCTGGGAGGAGGTGATGGGGTCGGTGCGGCGGAGAGGGGTGGCGGTACCAGAAGTTATTTACCGGAGCACGGTGGCGACGGGTGGTTATGCGCGGAGCCTGGCGTTTAATCCGAGCAAAATGGAGGCTTTCAATGGGGTATTTCTGGAGAAGTTGCGGCGGCGTGGGGTGGCGGAGATGGTGGTGGACCACTTCGACATGACTTTTCCGTGGCACTTCGACAACCGCTGCAACGACGGCGTTCACTACGGCCGAGCTCCGGCGAACGCGCGGTGGCGCGACGGTGAGTTTGGGCACCAGTACTTTGTGGACCTAATGTTGGGCCACGTGTTGCTCAACGCCCTATGCGCAAGATAGCATTGTGGAGGTGTTTTTAATGATAACGTGCGCCGTCGGTGGATCAATTTTGAATGGGCCTTTGGGCTTAAAAGCTTGGATGTCACAAATATGGAGTTTTGTGTACAAGTGTGTTTGGATCTAGCTTTGGGACATGGCATGTGGAATGATGAGATTTTGACAACGCAAAAATGGGTGATGAATGGCGATGCTCTCTGGACGTATAATAATTATGTGAAATGTATGTGGACAAAAGGCCCATTTATATGAGATGTTATTGTATGTTGGAGTCACACAGCTGTGCAGAAAGCATACAATAGTTTTTCATATATATATATATATATATATTGATTTATGTATTATAATTCATGTACAATTTCTTGGCTCCATAGGGGGGCCATAGTTTAGTTTGCCACGTATGAGTTTTTACTATTAGATATGGAAGATTATTTATTAATTTGTTGTGATGGAAGTTCTCAAAGGACATACATGCCTTGTCTTGTCTTGGCTTGTTGTGGTTAATGGTTTTATAATATTGTTCTTATTACTTAATTAAAGGAGCTTGGATGAGGAAGCAGCCTTTTTTTTTTTAATTTTTAATTTTTAATTTCTTTCGTGGAATTTTTGGCTATGTAATTTATGTAGTTTGATGGGATTTGAAGTCGCTACTTGAGCTTGAATTTGAGTTTTACAATTATGTTGCTCATTTTGTATGCCTGTAGATATTAATAATCTCTATTGAATATGATAGTATCAAATCTAGATCTAGATTGGATTAGATCAAAATAAGGCACATTTGTGTTATTATAACTAGCCTATCACCCGTGTTATGCACGGGATAATTATAGGTATTTATATTTATTTTAGATTTTTTTAATATATAAATTATGTTTTTTAAAATTTTTTATAAAAATAATTTAACAATCTTATCACTAACCATAGTATGTATGAGAGAAGTTGAAAAAGATATTGCAGTAATTATACAGGGATTATATCTATAATTATTTGTATGAAGGGATTTTAAATGCTCATCAGGGGATTTTGATCAAATCAATAAATGTAGACATGTGGAAAGACATGTGGATTGAAAAAAATTAATAATGCTGATCGGGAAATTTTGACCAAATCAATAAATGTTCAATTTTTTTTTTTTTAAATAAAAAATTTAGAAAATTCAGATTGGGATATTGAAGCTCCCACAGGCCTTGGGAGTTAAAAATCTCGTTTTGCTTAATATATAGTATAGTATAGATATATATATATATATATATATTGGCTATTTAATCAAATAAAAATTGTATGTTTGATTTTGGTTGATTTTGGTGACAAGGGAGAAAGTTAAAAAAATATTTTAACAGAAACGGCCATTTGATAAATAAAAAAAAGAAAAAGAAAAAAGAGAGAGAGTTGCATTTTTGTGTTTACAATTATTTATATATGTGAATTGTGATTTTTAAATGTCTTTTTTTTTTAAAAATGTCTTCTTTTTTTCTTTTTTATATTATATTAAAGTTTAATATTTTGATAATAATCATATGTATTAGATTTTTCAAGAATTTTTTTTTATACTTGTTCTTAATGCATTAAAGTGTTATTATGAGGGATAATAATCATATGTGTTGGGACTTTTCAAGGAATTCATATGTGTTAGATTTCAAAGAATTTTTTTTATGCTTGTTCTTAATGAATTAAAGTGTTGTCATGAGGGTAAGACTTGAGAGTTGGGAGAAGTTAATAAATGCTAAGATTTTTTTTTAAAAATTAAAAAAAAAACAAAAAATTTAAATTGAGAGATTGGAACTCTCACAAAATTTAGGGTTAAAAACTCTTTTTTACTTAATATAGAGTATACATCGATACAAATAGATTAATTGATTTGACGGTTGAACTATAAACTAAATGAATCAGTTGGTTATTTCAATAACTAATTGAAGTGGTATGTTCACTGACCAACACATAAAATTGTTAAGAGTAAAATCAACCCCCTTTTAATGTCAATAAATACACAAGTATGTACATGGGAATGTGGAGATAGAATGTTGTATTATTTAAGGGTTTCATAACTCCAAAGTGAGAAAGTTTTATGAAAAATGCTTGGGAGCACTAATTAGTGCTCCCACTAATTAGGTGGCAGTGGGTCCCGTCATTAATGATGTGATGTTTTGGTCTTGGAGTTGTGTTTTTTTTTTTTTTTACTTTTTTAATGCATTAGTGCTATTAGTGGTGATATTTTTAATGGGATGAATCATTGTTGAAGTTTTATTTTGTTTGCCTTCTCCGCATTTTAGTTGCGATGATAATTTTTAGACGCATTTTCTAATATAGTGAAAGCTCAAAAAAATCTGGATCCAATGCAATAGTCTTTCATTCAAAAAAAGAAAAAAAAAATTCATGCTAAAGCCGAAGTAGTTGATATTAGTGCTGTTTGGTGTAACTTTTGTAAGTTAAAAGTTGATAATCATAAAACAGAAATCAAAAGCACTCATTTATCAATTTCTAAATAATTAGTTTTTTTCAGCTTATTTAAGCTATTTCTATTTAAAAAGTTATAACCAAAAACTGTACCAAACAATCTAAAACAAATTTTTAAATTAAAATAAGTTATAATCACCCCTATAATCCACATAAAACACCCCCTTTATATAGTATTAGGTGTGAGGTTGGGTTTGGGCTATAAAAAAAATAGAAATTTCTCGTGGTCAAGGTCCAATTGGACCCTTATCAATCCATATAATATAGTACTTAGGAATGGCCACAACAGAATAAAATTACAAAATTACAAAAAAAAGTTCTCTTAACAATAATGTTAACATAAAAAAAAAAAAAAAAACCCTTAAAAAATATATTTACATTTATTCTGAAATGACTCATACAATATTAATTTAAATTTATATCATATTATTTCACTTTCGAATACTCTTAAACCTTGCCAACAAAAACTGATGAGTGTACTGAAAATAAAACAACATGGGAAGCTACCAGGAAATAACATAACATTATTACACATTGGCACATCATTGAATGGTTTTCCCAAAACATTTCTGTGCCTTTATTTTTTGGTTGCTGAGTATTTTAGAAGATTGGACTCTTAAGGGTTGGTTTGGGAAGTGAGTTGATTTTTAAATTTTTTGACTATTTTAGTTTGGGCTAAAAAGCTTAGTTTAGGAAGGAGTTTTTGGTTTTTTGATTTTTTTAACTTTTTTTATGAGAGAAGAGTGTAATGATTATGGATTGGATATGATGTTTTGTTTATTGTGACTAAAATAGCCTATTTTATCTTTTGTGACTAAAATAACTCAAAAAAAAAAAAAAAAAAAATAACAAGAAATGAAGAGTAAAAGAGTAAAAAAAAAAAAAAAAAAAAACCCTCACAAAATCTTCCCAAACAAGATTAGAGCCATGATTAACTCCTGGAGGTTAGTGCAAACAATACCTTCCTTGGAACAATTATGGTGATATGTTCTGACGCAATATTAGAGGTGGGACTCAGTTTGAGTTATATTTTAATTATTCGAATCATTTAAATATATCTGTAAAAAAATTCGTTAAATATCAATAGTCTCTTTATCAAATCACATTTGTACTTAATTTTATAAATATATATTTATTTTTTTAAATACAAATGTAATTTGATGAAAAAACTATTAATATCCGAGTAATTTAATTTTTTACAAATACATTCTATCTAATATTTTCTCTAAAAAATTAAACGATTCAAGTCATTAAAATAAGGCAGAAGATGAGTCTCTAACGGACCGTGTATCAGCAGTAACCCCAAGTCGTGTTTGGTTAATTACAATGAAAATATAAATGGAACAATTATTTTATTAAAATATATATTTTTAATTTTTAGGGCTAACTCATCCAGTTCATTAAAAATACACTCCCGATACGTAGCTTGAATTTGCCGTGGTTCGAGTCGCCTAAAATCCCAAAACGACAAGATTTTTTTCTTTCTTTCTTTTCCAGAACTTGTAGAAAAAGAAAGAACAAGAAGAAGAAGAAGAGAAGAGGAGAGGAAAAATCAAACCTAAAAATCAATCAAACAATTCAAATCATCAACAACCAAGAATCAGAAATCAGACATGCATCACTGAAAAAATATAGATCTAATTTGTCTCTGCTCAAACCAAATCCAAAATCCAAAGATAAAAGGAAGATCTATATACACAAATCTGTGTGTATACAAAATTCAAAATCCAAAATCTAAAGATAAAATCCAACCTCACATAAATATATACACAGATTTGTATATATATACCTCAACCAAATCCAAAATCCAAACTGTGATTTGTTTCTGCTCAAACCAAAATCTATGTATACAAAATTCAAAATCCAAAGATAAAATCCAACATCACTGAGAGGGAGATTTATAATCTGGATTGGGCCGTGGTAATGACGGGGCAAATTTGGGCCGAACACAGTTGGGCCGTGGTAGCAAGGGCCTGTCCAGAAAGGTTTTGCTCGGCTAAGGCAAGGCATGGTTGGACCAAGCTATTTAGCTTCAGGGTGCAGAAACCGATCGAATGATGGTTCGGTCGAGATGTCCGTTGCCTCACTGGGTTCCACGGTTCGTGGGTTAGCCTGGCAGGAAGGCCGACAACTAACCAGCATAAGCTGTCCCGAGTTCGACTATGCCGGAATGCAATCGAGCTCGATCGTCATTGAGCTAGACAAGCGGAGCGCTCTGGCTAGCAATACAGCACGGCCTTTGGCAGCCGAGATGCTGCAGCCCAGTTGCCGAGCTCCCAATAGTGTGGGCTGGCAGTTTGGTTAGGTGATGTTTAACTAGACTTGCGCTGACAGATGGGATAGCAGCACCACGTATCGAAAGACTAATTGGAGTAGATTTGGGGCGCAGAAGGTATATAAGCGAGTCTGCGCCCCCCATGTAGAGACAGATGAACATTTGGTGAGGTTTACACTAAACACTCAATCCTCTCTCTCTCTCTTTATCCATGTGTGCGTCTAACTTGATCATCGGAGGGGTATTCCGGCCACACATCGCCGGGTAGCTTACCGTCGTTGTGCTCGCAGGTCGATCGGACAGGCAAGAACTTGGAAGAAATGAGTACGGGCTTGCTGGAATATTTGCTCCCCGTACAATTGGCGCCGTCTGTGGGAAGTTGACAGACAAAACCTTGTCTTCCAAGCTCATCTAATCGCCGTCCATGGCGAACAACGACGAGATTCCGTTGTCTGCCATCGACGGAGTTACCCCGGAGTCAGGCAGACGGAGAGAAGGACATCCCACCATCCTTCCTATGGCGGACCTGGAGACTTCTCCAAGGGGACATTCAAGAGACGCGCGGGATAAGCGCGGAAGAAGCTTTGGTCATTCACGAAGTCCAGACGGTTATCGGCGGCGGAGAGAATCGCATGCCATACGACTGGAACACAAGCTAAGGGACCAAGACGCCGTCATCCGGCGAATGGCGGCGGAGATGGAGGATCTTAAGCGGCATGTCAAAAGGAAGGGTGTAAGTGGAGTGGGAGACCACAGTGAGCGCACCCAACCCCGCTGTTCAGGCAGTCAGAGCCAGCGGCGTACTCCGTC